TGCCAAATTTCAGTGGTACGTGTATCAATGGAAGTTGGTTGCAGAATAACTGATAGGTTGGCATCATCTGAGAGGATGAAGGCTATGGGGTTTGTGCCGGTGACAGCAGGAACAAAACTAGAAGCAACCATTGGAATCAAGATGGTAAGAAAATACTCAGTTTTGTTGTAAAAATTTACAGAAAATAAAAGGGTCTGTAAACAAGAGGCAAAGGAGAAGACAGAAGAAGAAAAGAAGTAATGTTGGCCCAAAGAGGGTATTTAAAGAAAATTAGACCCATCGATTATTGACAAGTGGCAACGATCTAACAATAATAATCTCATGAAGTGGAAAAGTTAGTGGAGTTTGTTTAAAAACCCACTCCTTAAAACCTAGGAGTAATCATGAGAAGTGATTAAAGTGACATGGGAAACTATTGCATAGAAAGTAATCATGATTATGCATGACGTCATCTCAAAAGAGATATGCAATCAGAAACTTAGAAGAGAAAACCCCAGAGTTCTCCCATCGACAAAGGCTCCGTCGACCATGGCATTTTGAGGAGTAATTTGTTGACAATCAATTTTTGACTAGGGAAATAAGCCTTTAAGCTGTAAGATTTCTTTGGCTAAAAAGGCATGAATTTGTAGAAAACAACAGTACGTGTCGATCAAGTGAAATGATGTCGACCAGAAGAGCTAGTCGACTAGGACATGATATTCGGAGGCAGCCATCGACAATCATAGGGGTCAATGAGCAAGGATATATAATGGTAGGAACAATTATCAACTTGCAAGTCAGTAAGAACGTGGGGGATGTTTAGAAGCAGTTTGGAGCAGTTCTTCACAAAGCCCAACATGGGCTAGTAACTGTCGACGGTTACATACTTAGGGTTTCTATTTAAGCAAATGTTTGTATTTGTGTCAAAGATCGCATTTATTTACATTTAGAGCATTACACTCAAAGTATCCGTATCTAAGAGAGAAATGAGTTTCAGGCTTAACAATATATGAATGCTTCCACATTTAAATTCATAGCAATTTCCAGTTTTCACTTTAAATTATAAGTCTTGTCTTTGATTTCTTTACTTTGCAATGTCTTTTACTTTTGCCCCTTTTATTCAACATTAATCAGTTTCAACCCAAAAACACTCAAAACACCAAGTCTAGGATTATTGTAGCCGATCCTGCAAGTAACCTTTAATAAGAGGATAACGATTAGAAACAAATGTTTACACTAGATATTAATAAATTAATTTGTTTACAAACTATATTGTTTACCTAGAATATTACATTGTTTACATAGAATATTAAAGTAAAAATTAATTTTCCTGAAGATCTGATTTTAGATCTTCGAATCAATGAATTTTGGAGTAGATCATATGTTGGGTTCTAGATATTCTCTATGGCTTTTACTTGTATCTGTTTCTGATATAAAATATAAAAAATTAGATAAAGAATATAAATATTCCAGTTATATGATTTTCTGCTCTAATAAATATTTAAGGACACAAACCTTAAACCCAAATAATTTTCTACTCTTACAATCCATCATAGAGAACTTTTCAGGACAAATAATTTAACAAGAAAGATAACAAGATATATATTAGTGGATGTAGATAATTACAAGCGCTTCATGATGTTTCATTATCCATTTTTTATATTCATAATACTTTTATAATGAAATTTTTTTATGTTTCACGTGGATCAATAATGATAATGTCTTGAACTTGATACTCATTAAATAGACGATTTTTTTTGTTTAAGGACGATGAATATCCTCAATAAACACGCTTACTTATTCCTCTAGTTATGGAAAAAACTGAGGTAAAAAGTATTTACCCCCTCGATTTCAATTGAAAACGGAGGTGAATAAGTTTTTTTTTTTTAAAAATTATATTGTTTACACAAAATATTAGAATAAATTGATTACAATAAATCTAGATTCACCATCATCATCACTGTTATTCTTGGAGAACAACAAATTTTTGCAGTAATCCAAATTTTGTTGTATACCTTGTATGCATTCAATTTCTAATAAGTTATTCAAAAGTTGATATCTCTTAATATGAAGCAATAATGATTTTCTGTCCTTGTAATCTATCATAGAGAACTTTTCCAACCTTCATTAAGTTCCAAGATTTTATTATCGTGAGCAAATATTTTCATGACAAATGCTTTCACAAGAAAGAGAACAAGATATATAGTGGTGGATGTAGATAGTTTATTGTGAATTGATGTCTTGGCAATATCTTGAGCACTGTCCCTTTTATGAATGTAGAATAGAGATTCGTTGTTGAAGCGCCAGTGTCACATAACCCCTCAGTTTTGTTAACAAAATGAGAGGAGAAATACTTTCTTTTTTTAAATAAAAAAATTAAATAAAAAACCAAACCCCTCGATTTTAGAAAAAAATCGAGGTAATAAATTTCAAGCAAAAAAGATAAATGATAAAGAATTGAAGGTAACCATTTCAATTCTTTATCAGTCACCATTTTTTGTGAATAATTTACAACATGTTTATGAATAAATTTCTCAATATTGTTAACCGAGAAAAACAATGTTGTTTTCTTTGATTGACAATATAAGAAGGTTATTTCAAAAATATAACAACAAAATCAACACTATTATGTGGATAGATTGCAAGAGCACTTTTTTTTTGTTCAAGATAGAAGAACATTAAATTTTTTTCCAGTCTTGTAATCTATCCCAAAGAATGATGCATACGAGTTTGTGAAGGCTACATATAAGTTATGATTAGGATAAAATCTCCTTAACGAATGCTTTTATAGTAAAATCTGATTATTATACCCCTCGATTATCACGAAAACCGAATGAATAGATCATTTAGATTACAAATAAAAAATAAAATAAAAAGAAAGGTTCCACTTGTAAAGAATAAAAAAACATAAACTGTATTAGCTGAGATTTTGAAGCATGTTCTAGATTGTTTTTCTCTTCAGTTATATTAAAAAACGAGGGAACATGTGATTTTTTAAAAACAAATAAAACATAGTGCGTCTTGGTATTATATCTTGGTTTTTTTTTGGTGAGGTGAAAGTTTTGTTACGAAATATATTATTTGTAGTTGTGACAAAATATCAGTAGTCAATACCGTTTGTTTTATAAGGACACCAAAAAATTACAACAATGACTTCCACTATACGTCATTATTAAAAATAACATTAATTAGAAAATACTTTTTTTTGTCCATGTGATTTTATTTGAGTTGGACTTTGACATTTTAAATTTATTAGAGGCACGATAAATATACAAAGCACTAACAAAATTAAATTAAACTTCAAATACATAATTTTTATAAATAGTTTAACTCATATAAATATTTAATTGAAAGAACTAATACTTACTTTTCAAACTTCATTTTTAAATCTTGATAATTATCATGCTTAACATTGAATTCATGTAATATATAATCTCAACACTTAGATTGATGATAAGCAACACCCAGTGATTAAAAATAACATTTTGAATAGATATCTTATCCTAAATTATTTTTTAATAGACAATGATCTATTAAAAGGGAGTTTAAGGGATACTCCTCCTAAAATTACAACACGAAAAATCCTACCTCCTAAAACATATGAGAGATAGAGTATTTCAAACGGAAAAATTACAACAATTCGAGGTTTTATAAAAGGAAGTCAACCAATTCCACAACCTAAGAACAATTGCCGACATACAATCATCGAAATTGAAAACAATTCCTTTAAAAATAATGACAAAAATTATCTTTTTCTTGAACTCTTTATCTATCAAGAATAATTTTTCTATGTTTTTTCTTCTTTATCATCATTCGAGACATATGCAGATATGAAAGAGAACTTATTTACTAATCCATTTGGAGAGATGAGTTTTTCATACAAATATCTTGAAATGAAAAAAAAAAATTTAAGATATTAATAACCATATAAATCAAGATACAAAAGTAAAATACCCTAAAAAGAATCACATTTATCGCATAATAACACCCAATAAAGAGCTATGATGAGCTACTTCATGATTATTCTTGTCATAATTGTTTGAAGAAGGATTAAGAGCATGTCACACAACAAATGATGTTGTTTTAGGATTTAAAGGAGATGACTATAAATGGATAAATTTTAGGGTTCGACAGTAGCAGCTATTCACGATAGATCAATGTTTTGATAGAAATAAGTTTGAATTGGAATACGAAAACTGAAATTTGTCCTAAGATTTCACTAAATTTTCGCTAGCAGGAATATTTTTGTAAAAACAAAATAAAGAACACATAATATTTTGAATGAAGAAATACATGTTTTATCCAATTGTGTTTTTCCTTGTAATAACATTTGTATCATAATATATTATTATGTTTCAATTAATTTTTCAAATATCTTAAATAGCCCAATAGAGACATAAAGTCAATTTTTAAACTAGACTTAGTGTTATTTATGTTATTCTTTTTTGTATTGGTTTTGATTATGAATGATAAAAGTTAATTTTACTTTGCTAAAAAAAAAAAACCTTTTGAGCCTCTATATCTAAAATAGTGCTTTTGATAGAGCGCTATTATAAATGCAGCCTTTAAGTTAGAGGTTTCGAATTCGAATCTGATTGCATGTAAAATTATATTTTTATTGTTTTATTTGTCTCTAAGATAGTGTTTTTGGTAAAACGCTAATAAAGGTTGATATTTTTATTTGAATTTTTTTCAGTCTATAATAGCTTTTATGATAAAGCGCTGTTATAAATCCACTCAATTTTTTAACCTAACATACCTTATGATAATGCGCATGATAAAAGAACTATTTTATATTTTGAGGTAATATATTTTATAGCGCTTTATAAACAAGTGCTATTAAATATGCATGAATGTACGTACAAAGATATTAATGTTTACATGAATATGAATAATGAATAGTAGCATCTCTCCCAATGTACATAAGAATATTGAAGATGCTCTTACAAGAACTACAATGAATATAATTATAAATAATATATGACTGAATAATGAAGACCTAGCTATTCAACAACACACTATCAAAGACCAGATGTAAATGGCACGGCAGTAGTAGCCAACCATGATGGGCCTGCAAGAAGCTCAGTTACAGTAAACTTTGAGGCTTCATTTTGGCTTGTAATCACATGATAGCCTGGCCATTTCACTCTTTCTTTTGTTGATGAACCAGGCCCATAGTTTTCATACTCTCCATAATACAAAGTATCTTGAGCAAAATTAGTATCACCCCATGGAGACCAACCCAATGGACTCACTAAAGTGTCGATAAAAGATTTCATCACCATAACTCTTGAGTATTGTTGCCAAGGCCGACCCAAGTATGTTTTGTATTTGTCTACAACGGGCTTTAGATCCGATGCAGCCCTAATTTGACAATTGTGGAATGAAATTCCAGTATTTTGGAATGGATCGCCTCGACCTTGGGCCGTGATCATGTTAGCTTGACCATCTAATGGTTTTCTCGCGAAAATGTTACAATTTTGGAATACCACAGCGGCATTGCCAAAGATGAAGTCTACGGTGCCGTAGATATAACATTGTCTGTAAAATTGACGTTGTGCATGAGTCATGAGAGTGTCTTGATAACCTAATATGGCACAACGGTAAAAGACAGAGAGATCTGAGGCTGATCGTAGCGCTACTGCTTGACCCTTGTGTGGACCAGCGGTATTTTGGAAGGTTATATCACGCGCAATAAAGTGAAGTCCATCAATACCTAGATTTAAATGATTCAAGACTAATTATTTAAAATTTCAAAGTATAAAAATAAACACAAATATCAGACATGACACAATACATAGATACAAAAAATTACAAATAGAAAATTGAATATTACTCACCAGCTGTTGCTGAGCTATAAGTAGTAAAACCTCCTTGAACACTTCTTGAACTTGTTATTATGGTATTTTGCTTTCCATCACCAACCAACATAATGTTATCATTATGAACATCAACCTCAATATTTTCTATATAAACACCTTTCTTCACATGTATCACAAACCTTGTCTTATATTTTCTCTTAGCAGCAGTATCTAATGCAGCTTGCACGGTCTTAAAATGTCCCGAACCATCTTTTGCTACTACAAGATTGAACTTTAGTGAAGATTTAGATTGCAAAAGCTTCCTCTCATGCTTTGAAAACCAACTTGGAAATGACCTTTCTCCGGTTTCTACACACGATTCAGAAATTTCGATTAGTTGAGGCACAATCATTGAGTATATATTCAAAAATTATATTGTAAATATTTAAATAATATTACCTTTCTTGTGTTTCAAGAAATACATATTGATGGCTAAGGTGTCCCTTATCATCTCAATGACATTGTTATGAACAATGAAATTGAAATCTTGAGCATTGAGTTCTAAAGCTCCATTTTTACATGTTTCAATGTTTGTGAGAGAAGTTGTGAGCCATGTTTGTGCATCATTTGGTGAACATATTTTGTTTGCATTGTTTAATCCTTCAAGTGTACGATTGAGATGAAAGATTGTGTTTTCAAACAACTTCAAACAATCAACATGAACAATTTTATGATCCACCGACGAGTTTAGTTGTGATTCTTTTTGCATGAAAAGAGATTGTTCTAAGGCTAGTTGAACAAGCATTCTTCTGAATTCAACTCTATGTTTGATTTTGAAATGATGGTTCATTTGAGTTGTGTAGTGTTTGCATGGTTTAGGATGTGGTGTTTGGTTGCACCACCAATCAATGTTTTTTGTGGAAGGTACTTTTCTTGATGAGACTATAGAGAAAAATGAAGAAAGTAATAAGAGCATGAAGAATGTTTTTCCAAAGATTTCCATAATTCTAATGAAGAGTAGTTATTGAAGTACTTAAGAAATAATAAGAGTTTATGTGTTTAGATTATGATTTTGGTTTTGACTTTATGAGAATTAAAGCTATATATGTGCATATATATATATATAGATGATTTTTTTGTAGGTGAAGTGTGAAGGTTAAAAACGTGTGGAATGAATTGAAAGTGATATAGATAATGAAGAATGACACAGATACAAACTATTAATGCATTTGCAAGAAAGGTTTAATTGAATATAGGAAGAAAATCTTATCTAGTAGAGAAATTTGCATTACTTAATAAGTCATAAAGTTGAAGCCTAGTTACTTGTTAGTGCTAGAAAAACAAGTTTCGTAATGAGGATTCACATAGCAACATCCTTGTGCTTACTTATAAATGCATTAATGGGTACTTTGCGGCTGTGATTATATATATATATATTATTTGAATGAAGTAGTAAGAGCTCTTTTAAGAGAGCTAGAGTTTTACGGTCTATTATGATCTCTTTTGTCTCGAGAGATTAGTTTCTATAATTGCATGTAAATATTTGATTATTGAGACTAATATTGAGTTGGCTTAAGTTGCGTGTTTGTTTCAAATGCACGCATAGTGTTGCTAAGGAAAATTGGTTATATTATCCTTTAGTTAAGAAGAATTATTCAAGGGTAGAGGAATGGTAGTTTCTTTGAACATAGTAACCAATTTCACCTGGTAGGCTTTTTGTAAGCGTTTTGTTGAAGCATAGGTGGTTTTTTTTAGGGTACGTAATCCATGTGAATTTAGTTTGCATATTAAGCAATTGAAGGAAATGTGTGTGCGGTTTTGACAAAAATTGTGTCAACACACGTTCATGTATTTAAACTAAGATTTATGAATCTACTCTCTTAAATAAATTAATGAAACAGATGTAGACATCTGTACTGATTTGCTGCTTGACTATTACGTTTAAGACAGAAAAGTATAAACAGTTTGGCTTGTAGGAGAAAAATATTGAGACTGATATATGTTTTAATTAATGACAACAAGCCTTATTGAATAAATGCTGAGTTTATGAATTCTGATTTACCAATGTTTTCACTTTGTTGAAAGAACAAGAAAAATGGAATTAGATAAATTATGTTGAAAATGAATTTCAAGTATGAGTAGTGTTGGGAAGTCCTACATTGATTAAGAATGTTGAGACTTTAGCATTTAAATGGAAAAATTCACTCACATATCACTTTAATGTTTTAGGTAAATATGTGGTGTGTATCTCACAAAGATATGTTGCTCAAAAAATTAATCGTATGTTTTTTATATGTAATTTCATGTAATAAGTTTGTCATTTGAAATATAGTGAACCGGAAGGTAGAGTGGTCCGATAAAGTCATCGGACCTTTGTTGTAATAGATCTGGTGAAAACCAGTGTGATCCGACCGATTTATTGGTCATATCTGTGAACCTGTGAGTTTCTTGATCTCCTATTTTTACTTTCTTAAGTTTTGGTGCTCTATTATAAAAATGAAATTTCGTCAAATTTTAAAATTCGACATGTAATTTTTCAAAATTATTAGGATTATAGTTTTACCAACTACACCATGAATTTCTTTGATGTTTAATTTGATTAAAGAGAAGAAAGTTATATATTATATAATTATTGTTGTGAATTCAATGCCAATAACAAAGTATCGAATAAGGGAAGAATAAAGAACAAGGAAGAATAAGAACACAAGGATTGGTTATAACTGCTACTCTTTCACTTTCTCTTTGGAAACAAGATTACAAGTTTACAAGAATAACAAATAACCCTCTCACCCTAAATTAGGATTTGCTGTGTTGGCAATGATGAGAGACTAGTATGCTATTTATAATAAAACCTAACATACTAACTAATGGGCTTTTTCCACAAGGCCCATTATACAAGCTAACTTAACAAACAAGCTAACTTAACAAATTAGGGTTTAAACACTAAAACCTAATTCGACAAGCATCCTTCGACAAATACATGCTAGAACCTTCTTCGACTACAGCAAGTACTTCGACCAACTAGAGTTCGATCCAAAATCCCACAAATCTCCACCTTGGACCTAACTCTACAGCATCAAGAGACACTAACTAGCTTTCTTCATGCAGCTTTATCAACTGCATACAGTGGAAAAACTTGCAACTTGGCAATGTTTTGGTGATCATATCAGCAGCATTGTGATCTGTCGAGACCTTCAGCACTTGGACTTCTCCACGCTCGATTACCCCTCTGACGAAATGCAGCCTCACATCTATGTGCTTGGTTCGCTCATGATAGGCTGAGTTCTTCGACAGGTGTATTGCACTTTGACTATCACATTTAACAGTGATACCTTGACCTTGAAGTTTCAGCTCCTTTGCAAAACCTTCAAGCCACAATGCTTCTTTCACAGCTTCAGTTAGGGCAATATATTCTGCTTCAGTAGTTGATAAGGCAACAACCTTCTGAAGAGTTGCTTTCCAACTAATTGCTGTACCAAACATAGTGAAAACATATCCAGAAATAGATTTTCTGGAATCCATACAACCTGCATAATCGGAGTCAACATAGCCTTCGACTGCTGCTTTACTATCTTCACCCAAGGCTCCACCATAAATTAAGACTCTGTTCAGAGACCCATTTATGTACCTTAGAATCCACTTTAACGCTTGCCAGTGAGCCTTTCCAGGATTCGCCATGTACCTGCTTACAAGACTTACTGCATATGCTATGTCGGGTCTAGTACAGACCATAGCATACATCAAAGAACCAACTATATTAGCATATGGGATGCTGTTCATATAGGTTCTTTCGACATCAGTACTGGGACATTGATCAATGCTCAGCTTGAATTGAGGGTTTGTTGGAGTCACAACAGGCTTTGAATTCGACATACCAAACTTGTCAAGAATCTTTCGTAGGTATGCCTCTTGAGATAAGCATAATTTCGACTGCTTTCTATCTCTTCGAATGTCAATTCCAAGGATCCTAGATGCAGCTCCCAGATCCTTCATGTCGAACTCCTTATTGAGTTCAGCCTTCACCCTCATTACATCTTCGATATTGTTGCTTGCTATCAGAATATCATCAACATAAAGCAACAAAATAACAAATGAATTTTCAGGTCGAAATCTGGAGTAAACACAATGGTCGAACTGACTTCTAATGAAACCTATGTGTTCCATGAACTTGTCGAATCTCTTATTCCACTGTCGAGGAGATTGTTTAAGTCCATATAAAGATTTCTTCAGTTTGCACACATAATCTTCTTTCCCCTTTTCGACATACCCTTCAGGTTGTCTCATCAGGATTGTTTCGTCTAAGTCACCATACAAGAACGCAGTCTTCACATCCATTTGTTCCAGTTCAAGGTCGAACTGAGCCACCATGGCAAGCAACATTCGAATGGATCTGTGCTTCACAACAGGGGAAAATACATCATTTAAGTCGACACCTTCTTTCTGAGTGAAACCCCTTGCGACTAATCTTGCCTTGTACCTCTTCGACATTACTCCTTCAATTCCTTCCTTAACTTTGAAAATCCACTTACAGCTGACTAACCTTGCCCCAACAGGTTTCTTGATCAGTTCCCAAGTGTGATTATCATGAAGAGATTTCATCTCATCATGCATGGCCTTTAGCCATTCAGTCTTCATTCGACTCCTTATAGCTTCCTTATAATCTCTAGGTTCTTCGTCTAGAACTTCACTTGCAGAGATTAAGGCATAAGCTACAAGATCTGCATATCCAAGTCTCTGAGGTGGTTTTATGACTCTTCTTTGCCTATCTCTCGACAATAGGTAGTCATCAGCAGTTTCCTCAACATCATCAGAATATTCTGTTTCTTCTTCGACTTCATCTGGGATACGCATTTCAGCATCAACATGCTCCACCTCAACAGGAATCTCTACCTGTTCCAGCTCTTCGTCAACATCATCAGTTTTCTTGAAAGCCATTTCAGTTTCATTGAAAACTACATCTCGACTGGTGATACACCTCCTGTGACCTGGCTCTAGGCACCATAGCCTATAAGCTTTTACTCCTTCAGGGTATCCCATAAACATGCATTTCAGAGCTCTAGGTTCGACCTTGTCTTGCCTAGTGTGAGCATAGGCTACACAGCCAAATACTCTTAGTTTGTCGAGATCTGGTGGATGTCCCGACCAAACTTCTTCAGGTGTCTTCATATCTAACGCTGTCGAAGGACATCTGTTTATCAGATATGCTGCTGTCGAAACAGCCTCAGCCCAAAACACCTTCTTTAATCCCGCACTGGTCAACATGCATCTAACTCTCTCCAAAATAGTTCGATTAAACCTTTCAGCCAAACCATTTTGTTGTGGAGTACCTGCGGTAGTTCTGTGCCTTGCAATACCAGAGGCAACACAAAAACTGTCGAACGCCTCATTGCAAAACTCAAGGCCATTGTCGGTTCTCAACCTTTTTACCTTTCTGCCAGTTTGATTTTCGACAAGAGTCTTCCAACTTTTGAAATTCTCAAAAGTTTCATCCTTAGTCTTCTGGATGAATACCCATAACTTTCTGGAATAGTCATCTACTATGGATAGAAAATACTTTGCTCCTGAATGTGATGGACACCTTGCAGGCCCCCAAAGATCAGCATGGATGTAATCAAGGGATCCATGTGTTCTTTGTTTGCCTTTGTTGAACTTCATTCTACAGGACTTTCCAAGTACACAGGGTTCACAAAACTTCAGCTTTTCGACTTTATCTCCACCAAGCAGATTTTGTTTCCCTAATTCGACCAGACCCCTTTCACTGACATGGCCCAATCTCATGTGCCAAATTTCTGTCTTCGACAAAGGTTTCGTGGATGCAACATTTGTCGAACCACTTACAACTTCAGCCTCAAGGGTATACAAGCCTTGTTTCTTCACGCCTCTCAAGACTTCCTTCGACCCTTTCATGACTCTTAGGATACTTTTCTCTCCTTGAAAAACATATCCTTTCTTGTCGAATTCACCAAGAGAAATCAAATTTCTCTTCAAATCAGGTACATACCT